GAGGACTGGTTGTTGTTGCTGTTACGTTGACAGTGGTAGTGGGTGGTGGAGATGGTAGTGGAGGGACTGGTTGTTGTTGCTTTTGTTGTTGTTACGTTGATAGTGGTAGTGGGTGGTGGAGATGGTAGTGGAGGGACTGGTTGTTGTTATGGTGGTGGTGGTGAGGAGGGACTAGCAGTTGCGGTGGTAGTGAGTAGGAATGTTGTGGTAGTGGTGGGGATTGTGTGGGGACAGGAAATTGTGGTAGTTACAGTGGTGGTAGTGAGAATGGACTGGTGGTTGAGGTGGTAATGACTATGGATTGGTAGCTAAGAAACTGGTAATTGTTGGGGGTGGATGTTGAGTGGGGTCACTGAGCTGAGACAGACAGACAGACAGACAGACGGATATAGAACAGGCAGACACACAGATACATAGATAGACGCACAGGTACAGACCACACACACACACACACACACACACACACACACACACACACACACACACACACAAAAAGGTCGGTGTCCTATCTTCACCCCTACCACCCTCCTACAGTATGCCGGTACCCGTGTATGAGGGAGGGAGGGAGGGAGGGAGGAGGAGGGAGGGAGGAGAGTGGAGATGGGGAGAGGGAAGGGAGAAGATAAAGAGGAGTGGAGACGTGAGGTAGGGGGTGGGAAGAGGTGACGGAAGGGAGAGTGAGGATGGGGTAGGAAGAGGAAAGGTGAGGTTGAAGGAGGTAAAAGAATGGGAGTGTGGGTAGTGGGGGGTGGTCGGGTGAGGTTGCGGGAGGGTTACACCTGAGAACCCACTAATTAATACACTATGTTACCTGATTACCACGGCGCTGAATATTTACAATAACCGTACGAGCGCAGGTGAATTTCGCTAGTTAAATATAGTTGATCTTTAACGTAAAACTACAACATTTTATAAATTCACCTGAAACCACATCATTTTGACAGGAAGTGTGTTTGAAGGTGGGGGCGTAGAGATAACCTGAAAGAGAGACGTGAAGACCATCTGTAGGAAGAGATGGGCGTAGAGACCACCTGGAGGAAGAGAGAGACGTAGAGACCACCTGAAGGAGGAGAGAGACGTAGAGACCACCTGAAGGAGGAGAGAGACGTAGAGACCATCTGAAGGAGAAACATGAAGACCATCTCAAGGAGGAGAGAAACGTAGAGACCACCAGAAGGAGAAAAAGACGTAGAGACCATCTGAAGGAGGAGAGAAGCGTAGAGACCATCTGAAGAAGGAGAGAGACGTAAGGACCATCTGGAGAACTGAAGGTACAGTGATGTGGAAGCACACAGACTCACGTACACTGGACGCTGGATCTAAGGAATTACAGGGGTGGATGAGTAGTGACTGTGAACAGTGAAGCATGGAGGGACCTGGTTCAAGGGACGTTGAAACGATATACGGCCAGACGATCATGTGTGTGTATAAGATATATATATATATATATATATATATATATATATATATATATATATATATATATATATAAATATATATATATATAAATATATATATAAATATATATATATATATATATATATATATATATATACATATATATATACATATATATATATATATATATATATATATATATATATATATATATGCTGATACACAAGGAAAGAAGAAACAAGAAGTTCCCAAGCACTTTCGTGTACTTCACATCTTCAGGGTAGTACAAACTTCGTGTTTTCTTCTTTCTTGTGTTATCACTACTAGATCACCGCACCTACATTGATTTACTTGCATATATATATATATATATATATATATATATATATATATATATATATATATATATATATATATATATATATATATATATATATATATATTTCATTAGCCCAATAAAGCACGCGGACTTTCACATACAATCAATACCTCAACCTGCTACAGGATTCGAACCCACGGCCCACGACTGTGACTAGGGAACGCTACCTCTGGACCACCAGGATACTAAAAGCAGTCTTTGACTCTGTTATATTTCACACAAAATCTGTTCAACGAGCTTATGGCGCCGTGAACCTCTAATGGGGACTACCCGTATATATATATATATATATATATATATATATATATATATATATATATATATATATATATATATATATATATATATATATATATATATGTGTGTGTACGGTTGTTGTAAATATTCAGCGCTGTGGTAATCAGTTGAGAAAACTTCCCTCGTGTGGTAAAAAATCTCAATCAGTGAAGTTAGTAAAGAAGTGCACTAAATAGTCGCAGGAAGTACAATCACTTTCTACAGGTATTCAAATTACAATAACAACTATCTCGTAATACTGTATGCATAACATTTGTATTCTCCAAATATTTACCCGCTGCGCCTGACTCAATCTGACCCTGCCTGACCTAACTTAATGTCACCTTCACAGAAACTTACTGAATCACCTGATGAAATTAAGCTACTTTCATCAGACTGACTTAGATGCGCCATTAACTTACAACGGGAACACCATAAACTTTCCCCTATTTGGCAACAAACTCAGCTGACTATTAGCGTCTCATCGACAAGTGGCGTCAATATCGCGGGGCGTTCATGTCTGAGGTAGAGGTCACTTTCATTAGATTCCCGATTGAGTTCTCGGTGTATTATGTGCTGTATGACCTCGTGCTATCATTCATGTGTGTACTACCAAGCTGCTGTACGACGTCGCATATGTGTCCTATCCTTCCTGCGCGCATTATGTCTCCTAAACTAGTGGAGAATCTTCTTGAAACTTGTGAGGGGCGTCGGTTACCTCCCCTAGAGCTCGGTCAAGTTTAATAATGTAGCCCTTATCTTCACCAGTAGATTGAGGTGTTCAGGGACTCATCTAGTGCTTGACTTTATGAGGCTGCATAAAAACGGGGTGTCTTTCCTCACAGGTCAGGTGGGGTTAAGTAAGGTATGCTACGTCTGTATACCATTATGATTCAGTCGGTGTTTGTGTATCAAGTTACAGTATGGGAGTGTTGGGACGTGTCTAGCTTAAATGTTTACGAAGTGGAATCCATTAAAATTAGAGACCATTAGGACTGGAGGAGACCATTACGACACGGCTCTAATCCTAATGGTTAGATTAGAATAACTTAACGAACGATTGGGCTTTTTTGGGATTTGGGACTATTAGAGCTGGGACTAGCAGTATTAGGACTGGATCCCATTATTTAAACAATCAAGACAAAAAATATTATATTTATAAAATAAACATTTAAAAACAAAACAATAAACGATACTAAATGATTAAAAAAATATCACATTACGACTTTACAGAGCATGAATCATCGGAACCTTAAGCCGATAACATTATTACCCTAATAATTCACTTACAGTATATACATATTAAACACATCACATCATCATATTATACCTTAACTATCGATACCTTCCTTGTTAAGCAGAATTTTTAATACCATCAATCGATAGAGTCAACTGATTTCACTCTCAGATAGGCGACGTAACCTGTTCACCTCAGCAGGGGACTCAGGATAATGTAGGAATCTATGTTAAAAGGTTTTTCCAGATAATTTTTTCCATTCTTTGTTGTGTCTTGTTGTTGTCGTGGTTGTTTACATTTGCCTTGCGTCATTTTATCTTGTTATTTACCAGTTCCTCTTTTATCTGAGGTTTCTCCAAGTCTTGATTTATTGTTACATATATGTAGAAGAGGAATTAGGATGAGAGAGAGAGAGAGAGAGAGAGAGAGAGAGAGAGAGAGAGAGAGATAGATAGATAGATAGATAGATAGATAGATAGATAGATAGATAGATAGATAGATAAGGTTCTCACAAGACACTCTTACCTACGGCCACATACGTACTCCCACATATACCCACACCTTCTCAACTATCTTATTCCCACACGCATAGTCTCGCGGAGAGCCACACCCATACAGGTACCCTTAAGCACGACTACGCACGCACATCTTCATTCAATCACTACTATGCACTCAAATGCCCCTTATGTATTTTCTTGCGTGCGCCCACACCCCCACACCCACATTCCTCACCCCCAAAATCGCCCACCCAACACCAGCTAAGTACACTACACCACATCCCATCCCCCTTAACACACCCACCACAACCCTCAAACACTCCCCACACCCACCCTAAAGCACCCCCACACTCCAAACTTCCCCACCACTACCTCTCATACTTTCCACCTCAATTCTCCAAGCACATCTACTCCCACAAGAACCCCTACCCCCACAAGAACCCCTACCCCACTAGAACCCCTACCCCCACTGGAACCTCTACCCCCACAAGAACCCCTACCCACACAAGAACCCCTACCCCCACAAGATCCTCTACCACAAGAGCCCTACCCCACAGAACCCCCCACCCCTAGATCCCTACCCCACAAGAACCCCTACCCCACCCCTAGAACCCCTACCCCACAAGAACCCCTACCCCCACAAGACCCTCTCCACAAGAACCCCTACCCCACAAGAACCCCCCACCCCCACTAGAACCCCTACCCCACTGGAACCTCTCTGCCACAAGAACCCTACCCCCACAGACCCTACCCCACTGGAGACCTCTACCCACACAGAACCCCTACCCCACTGGAACCTCTGCCGCCCACAAGAACCTCTGCCCCCACCTAGAAACTCTATCCGCTAGAACCTCTCCCACTAGAACCCCTACCCCACAAGAACCCTACCCCCACAAGAACCCTACCCCCCACAGAACCCTACCCCATTAGAACCTCTACCGCTACAAGACCCCTACACTCACAAGAACTGCCCCCCACTGAGACACTCTACCCCCCACTGAAACCCTACCCCCACAAGAACCCCTACCCCACAGAACCTCTGCCCCCACAAGAACCTCTGCCCCAAGAACCCTACCCCCCACTAGACACTCTGCAAGAACCCTGCCACAAGACCCCTACTACAGGCCTCCCCCACTAGGAACCTCTGCCCCCACAGGCCCCTACCCACACAAGAACCCTACCCCCACAAAGAACCCTGCCCCACCAGGAACCCATGCCCAAGACCCCTGCCCCCACTGGAACCCTGCCCCACAAGAACCTCTGCCCCACAAGAACCCTACCCCACAGAGACCCTGCCCCACTCAGACCCCTGCCCCCCAAGAACCCCTCCCCACAAGAACCTCTACCCCCACTAAAACCTCTGCCACCACAAGAACCCCTGCCCCCCACAGGACCTCTGCCCCACAAGAACCTCTGCCCCCACAAGAACCCCTACCCCCACTGGAACCTCTGCCAGACCCCTGCCACAGAACCCCTGCCCCCACTAGAACCTATGCCACACAAGAACCCCTACCCCAACAAGAACCCTACCCCTCAGACACTCTGCCACACAGAACCTCTGCCCCCATGAGACCTCTGCCCCACTAGAATCTCTGCCCCACAAGACCCAACCCCCACAAGAACTCCTGCCCCCACAGAACCTCTGCCCAGAAACCCCTGCCCCACAGAACCTCTGCCTAAGTAATCTACCCACTGAGAACCTCTGCCGCCACAGAACCCTACCCCCATAGAACCTCACGCCACAAGAACCCTACCCCCCAGAACCTGCCCCCACTAGAACCTCTACCGCCACAAGAACCCCTACCCCCACAGAACCCTACCCACACACAGAACCCCTACCCCCGAGAAACCCTGCCCCACAGATCCATACCCCACAAGAACCCTACCCTCACTAGAACCCCTACCCCCACGAACCTCTGCCCCCCACAAGAACCCCTACCCACACAAGAACCCCTACCCCACAAGAACCCTACCCCCCACAAGAATCCATACCCCACAAGAACCCTACCCCCAAGAACCCCTACCCCCACAAGAACCCCTCCCCCCACACAGAACCCTACCCCACAGAACCCTCTCCCCCACAAGAACCCCTACCCCACAAGAACCCTACCCCCACAAGAACCTCTCTACCCCCCACAAGAACTCCCACCCCCACAAGAACCCTACCCCACACAAACACCACAACTCCTAGCACCCCTATTCACCCCACTACCTCACGTCACTCCACGCACGCATACGCATTACTACGCACTGCCACGCACGTATTAGCAGTGTAATGACGAACTGCGGCAAAATAAGGAAGAGAAAATAAAACCTTTAATGGGAAACGATGTAGATGAAGAATGAATGGGTAGGTAGAAGAGCATTGAGAAGAAAAGGAGGAAGAGTGAGATTAAAGAGTGAAAGAGGAATGGTGTGGATAGAAGGGGAGAGATCAAGAGAAAAAGGAACATGGGTGAAGGAGGTAGAGATGAGAAAGAGGAGGAAAAGTGGAGAAAGAGGAAGAGAAGAGTGGGAGAAGGAGGAGGAGGAGGAGGAGAGTGGGAGGAAGAAGAGAGTAGGAGAAGGGGGTTGGAGATAAGGATAAAGAGAAAGATGGGAGAAGGTGGAAATATAAGAAATGAAGGGGGAAAGAGAAGAGTAAGATAAATAGGGGGGAAGAGGGCAGGGGAATAAAAAGGGAGACTGGTAGGGGCTTATATGAAAGGGAAAGATGAAGAGCATAAGAGGTCGTGTGGTTGGCTGTATACAAGGGTGTGGTAAGGGGTGTTGTGGTGAGGGTGTGATGTGGGTGTTGTGGTGAGGGTGTGATGTGGGTGTTGTGGTGGTGTGAGGGTGTGGTGTGGGTGATGTGCTGGGGGTGTGGTGGTGGTGGGGGTGTGGTGGTGGTAGGGGTGTGGTGGTGGTGGGAGGTGGTGGGGAGTGGTGGTGGGGGGTGTGGTGGGTGGTGGGGTGTGGTGGTGGTGGGGGTGTGGTGGTGGTAGGGGTGTGGTGGTGGTAGGGGTGTGGTGGTGGTGGGGTGTGGTGGTGGTGCTGGGTGTAGTGTCAGAGGTCGTAGGGTTGGCTATAGGTCAGGAAGAGCAAGAGAGGTGTTGCCAAATGCTGAGAGATTGACACAAGAAGGTTAGGAATTGGATGAGGAGATGGAAAGGGTGACGGAAAGGAAAAGAAATGGGTAACGGGAAAGAATAAATGAATGGTGGAAAAAAGGAAAGGGATAATGAGAAAGAATTGAAAGAGTAATGGGAAAGAAAGCAAGGAATGGTGAGAATTAATGGAATGGATGATGGTAAAGAAATAAAATGTAATGGGAAAGAGTGATAAGGATGGTGGAAAACTGGAAGTATGATGGAAAAGAAGGTAAGAAGCGATGAGGCGGTGACAGTAAATAGGTATGACATTGTATCAACTCTACGAGACACCAACAATAACATTTTTCTTTACTGTATGGCCATATATTCAAACAATTACTTTATTTGTATTTTGAAGACATAATAGCGAGAAGAACAACAGACGTACTACCAAGTATGACATTTAACCATCGTGTTTAAGGAGAGTAACAGAGAGACACAAAAGATTAATAAACATCAAGTCAAAAAAACAAATGACTATCGAATGCTGCCTGACGTGTTATGATTTGCCACATCATAATTACTTGTGTGTATCTATGTAACACTTTCTAATTTGATTGTATCAAAAATCTACAACAGAGATAACTTTTTTTCTTGTAGGATTAAAACAGAAGAAAAGCATCAACTTATATATCAAAATGGTTACATGTTGAGAAGATTAGTTGACGCGACAAAAACTGACTAGTACCAGGTTGTGAACCACGGGTGTACCTGGTAGCTGAGCGGGTGAGGCCCCGTCAGGGAGTACTGGTAGGTGGTACTAGTAGCTGGTTCTATAAGTAGGTTCCAGTAGTAGGCTCAAGAAAGAGGTCCTAGTATGCAGGTAAGAAGGCAGGCCCCAAGTACCAGCAGATAGGAGGGCAGGTCCCAGGTACCAGCAGGTAGGAGGGCATGTCCCAGGTAACAACAGGTAAGAAGGAAGGTCCCAGGTACCAGCAGATATGAGGGCAGGTCCCAGGTACCAGCAGGTAGGAAGGAAGGTTCCAGGTACCACCAGGTAAGAGGGCAGGTCCCAGGTAACAACAGGTAGGAGGGCAGGTCCCAGGTACCAGCAGGTAAGAGGGCAGGTCGGAGCCGTTGTGCCTCGGGCAACTTTCTCCAACACCCAGGGTCAGAATCTGGAGCAACCTGTGACCCCGACACACACATACACACAAACATAAGCGCATACACACACATACATACATAACTGCATACACACACATACATACTTAAACAAATACACACACACATACATAAACGCATACAAACATACAACATACGCATGCACAAACACACACGTACATCCGTACCTACACACACACACACACACACATACATAAGCGCATACACACACACATACATACATAAACGCATACAAACATACAACAAACACACACTCACATACATACATAAACGCATGCACACACACACACATGCATAAACGCATACAAACATACAACAAACGCATGCACACACACACACACACGCATACATCCATACTTAAACACACACGCGGACGGACCGATGGTTGGACGCCCTGACGCACACTCATGCACGCATCTTGCTATGGTCGACAGTATACAAACAGGCCATTGAGCGGAAGTACACTCCAAGCCCGATACACCCTTGTACCACTAGTTCGTGCACACACACAGGCTTACACACGTGCACACAGCAGAACACGTGCACACAGATGAACAAGTGTGGTGTTGACATATGTCTTTTTGAAGGTGTTCTGTTAGACGAGGAGGAAGTAGATAGAGAAGACCAAGATATGTACACAGACACGTGTGTGTGTACACGTGAATGTAAGGCCACAGATATGTGCACATTATCTAAGGTCAAAGACTCATGTGCACCTATAGATACAGTTATAGATCTATGTGAACATACGGGTGTGGTTATCGACACTAGTGTACGTTCATGTAAGGATGAACACGACCTTCACTGACACAGATGCTCCAAATGCAGGGACGGTCACAGGCTCAAGTGTAGTGTTGCATGCACTCACGGACACGTGTGCAAAATTGCCTTTACACCCATAGATATATGCGCTTACGAATTCGCCCACAAACTAATTTGCACAAACGTATGCTCTCAACATACTTGTACACAAACACATTCACCAACAAAAAAGGAAATAATATTGTCTAAAAAATTAGTGCCTTAACTGCTAGGTGCTGGTGAACGAGTTAAGACATGAGGCAGGGAGTAGTGTCGAGGTCAATTTTGGAAGTTATTTATATTCTTTAATTTAATTCAGCCAATCAGGTGTGTTCTTTCATCTTCCCTTATGAGAAAAATTCAACACACTAATATTTAAGCATCTGGACTCAATGACCCCATAATCATAAAATGCATTTCCAGCACGAGCAATCAGCAGCGCTTGACGATCTCCCTCAACCCGGAAAGACATAGTTGGGAAAGGTACGCCAGACGAACGTTCGCACCGACCTTCAACCTAACCTGGCGTTGTGTTAGGGTTCGTATAATACCGCTGAGGGTTTACTGAGGCCGCGCGAGAAGGTCAGTGTTGTCTCGTCTGAATCTAAAAAGTCTTCGGAGTTTCCTCAGAAGATCTCAATTGAGGCAAACAAACAAGGGGAGGCGAGAGAAAGGGCGAAGGAAGGAGGGGGGGGGAGAAGGAAAAGGACGGACGAAAGTAGGCGAGGAGCAGCGGAAGTTGGGAGGGTGGAAGGAACGTTGAGCTGAAGGATGAAGGGGTGGAATGGATGGAGGAAGGGGAAGGGTAGCGGCTAGTGTGGGAGGGCGGTTTGTGCACACTCACATAAAATAAAGATGTATATCGTCTCACAGTCCCTTATTCACATACTTCCATATATACAAGCACACACATATATGCACTCTCACAAGTACACACACACACACACACACACACACACACACACACACACACACACACACACATTTGTACATAAAACATATTTCCTGCACATAAGCACACCCCCTACACATAGACACACGTGCACACAGGCCTACACGTCCACACAACAGTCATCAGCTATAATCTTAGAGTAAGGCTTAATGTTTGATTACGTCACAGGGGGTGAATGACCCCAGGTGCGTGAGATATGGCTGTGTTAGGGCTGTGTACAGCCTGCAGGTAGGCCTCCTGGCTACCCCGAGTCCATAGGTAGGTGATTAATGTGTCCTATTTTTGAGGTTTCTCGTAAAAGCATTTCATATATATATATATATATATATATATATATATATATATATATATATATATATATATATATATATATATATATATATATATATATATATATATATATATATATATATGAACGTGTGTGTGTGTCGATATTCACTTAGTTTTTCAAGTTCCTAATATTATTTACATTACGCCTCACAGTGTACAGTAAGCAGTAAGTATAAAACTATACGCTGTCGTAAAAAACGTGTTAAAACATCTACCGTAAATTCGAAGTAA